GTATTGTATGTTAAACAATATGACTAATTAACTTGTTGGTCAAAAATAAATATGTCAGGAGATAAGATATGACTATCAAAAGTTAATTAATTTGTTGGCACAAATAGGCATGTCAGAAGATAAGGCATGAGTTGTGGCACGTTTATCAATTTGATAACTCAATTAGTGTGTCAGAAAATAAAGTATAGGTCATGAATGACAGCTATATACAATAGTTGTCTATAATAATCAATTTGCTGGTCAAAATAAATATGCCATAAGATAAGATATGGATATCAAAAGTTAATCGATTTGCTGACACAAAAAAAAAATATGTCAGAAGATAAGACATGGTTTATGACACGCTTATCAATTGGATGACTCAATTAGTATGTCAGAAAATAAAGTATGAGTCATGAATGACAGCTATACTCCATAGTTGTCTATAATAATCAATTTGCTAGTCAAAATCAATATGTCAGAAATATGATATGGGTATGAAAGGTTAATCAAATTGCTGGCACAAATAAACTTGTCAGAAGATAAGGCATGGGTTGTGGCACGCTTATCAATTTGATAACTCACTTAATGGTCAATATAAAGATCCATTGATGTCTATATATTCAAAGCAAACTCACATATTTTTTCTCATTCTTCAAATCATAGTTACACACTTTAAATTCAATTAGAATCCTTCAAAAATGTCTCAAAATTCATATAGATTCGAGTCTAATTCATCATCATCCACCGATAGTAAAGATAGTGATGACATTAATGATTTAGAAGTTCAAATGATTTCATCAGTCGTTCAACGAAGCCACAAGTTACTTCAAGCATATCAACATGAAATTGAAGTTCGGAGAAGAAGAAAGTTCATCCAAAGAAATCGTGAAGATGGGCATGCGAGACTTGTAAGTGATTATTTCTCTGACCATCCAGTCTACCCTGATTACATATTTCGTAGACGTTTCCGTATGCGAAGAGAATTATTTCTTTCAATTGTGAATGCACTTAAGACACGATCATCATATTTCCAGCAAAACATTGATGCAATAGGAAGAAAAAGTTTGTCACCACTTCAAAAATGCACAACAACTATTTGTCAGTTGGCTTAGGAGTCCCAGCTGACCACCTTGATGAGTATTTACGTATGGGTGAGTCAACCGCTATTAAATGTCTTTTTAAATTTTGTGAAAGTGTGATTCAAATTTTTGGTGATGTATATTTGAGGAGACCGAACAGTAGCGATGTTCAAAGACTCCTCCAAATGCATGACGAAAAGCATGGTTTTCCGGGTATGCTTGGAAGCCTTGATTGTATGCACTGGGAATGAAAAAATTGTCCAGTTGCTTGGAAAGGCCAATTCACAAGAGGACATGGGTCTCCTACGATTGTCCTTGAAGCGGTTGCTTCACACGATTTGTGGATATGACATTCTTTTTTTTTGGTGTTGCAGGATCACGTAATGATATCAATGTATTATATGAATCTCCCTTATTTAATAATATATTGCAAGGAAATGCACCGAACGTTCATTTTACTGTCAATGGCATGCAATATGCAAATGGGTATTATCTTACAGATGGAATATATTCAGAATGGGCTACGTTCGTAAAGTCTTTTCCTTGCACGTCAGATCCTAAAAAGAAGTTATTTAAAGAAAAACAAGAAGCTGCTCGAAAGGATGTGGAAAGAGCATTCGGGGTGCTTCAGTCTCGATGGGCAATTGTAAGAGGTCCTGCTTGGTTTTGGTATAGAAGAAAACTGAAATTTGTTATGTTGACATTCATTATTCTCCACAATATGATTGTTGAAGATGAAGGATATGTAGTAACACATTGATACAATGACGAAGATGAAGAGCCCGCACAACCTGTCCAGGGTTCAAATCGAGAATTTCAAAATTATATTTGTAGAATTCAGAGATACGAGATAACACAATGCATCATCAACTTCGTGTCGATTTAGTTGAGCATATTTGGACTCAATTTGCCAACAACTAATTTTTTTTTTTTTTTTTTT